AGGTTGACCCTAAAAATGCACACCTCGCCTTATCCCTTAGACGTTATCCCATCTGACTGGTCACAATCACTTATCGTCCCAATATATAAGAGAGGGTTAAAATCATCCTGTGACAATCATAGAGGGATTAGTTTAACTAATATAGCATCTAAAATATTAGCCTCGATAATTATCAGACGCCTAACTAAGACTCGTGAACTGCAAACACGAGAGAATCAAGCTGGCTTCAGACTTGGTCGTGGCTGCATCGACCATATATTCACCATTCGTCAGGTTCTAGAACGTGGGCATACTTATCGGTGTTCGACAATGGTGGTCTTTCTTGACTTAAAAGCAGCATTTGACTCCGTAGACCGTAAGATTTTCTGGCAGTGTCTGTCATTGAAAGGCGTACCTTAGAAGTACATAAACCTTGTGAAGGCTCTTTACTCGAACACTACCAGTCGAGTCAGAGCTTATGGCGAACTGTCATCTGCTTTAGCAACCTCAAGTGGTGGTGTCCGTCAAGACTGTCCACTTTCTCCTTTTTTTTAACTTCATCATAGACCTATTGGTGGAAATAACATTCTCGTCTACTGAATTCTCGGGTATTGATCTCCTTTCAGGAGGTCCACTTATCGACTTAGAATACGCAGATGATGTAGTCCTGTTGTGGTGAAGACGCTGATAAAATGCAGTCTTTTGGTAGCACTGAGCAACAATGTCAGGATTTTGAGGATGCGTTTCTCCCCCACTAAATGCAAGTTGTTGCTTCAAGACTAGTCTGCATCAACACCTGAACTAAGGATAGGGAGTGAAGTAGTCGGACGCGTTGACAACTCCACTTATCTTGGAAGTCTGACCAGCCCTAATGGGTTGGTGTCTGACGAAATCTCAGCACGGATTCGAAAAGCTCGCTTGGCTTTTGCCAACTTACGTCACCTATGGCGAAGGCGAGATATCCGTCTATCAATAAAAGGACGAGTATACTGCGCGGCAGTCCGTTCTGTTTTAATTTACGGGCAGCGAAACATGGCCATTAAGAGTAGAAGACACTCGTAAGTTACTGGTATTTGACCACAGATGCCTAAGAAATATTGCTGGCGTCTGCTGGGATCACCGGATAAGTAATAGTGAGGTTAGACGCAGGATATTAGGGAAGGATGGTAAATCAGTCGATGAGGTTGTGAATCTTCATCGACTGAGATGGTTGGGCCACGTGTTACGTATGCCTGAACACCGATTACCACGACGTGCAATGCTGACTAGTGTTGGGGATGATTGGAAGAAGGTTAGGGGCGGCCAAACCAAAACGTGGCATCAGTGCTTGAAGTCATTAACTTCTAGTGTGAGCCATGTTAGTGGATGCAGGTTACTTGGTTGGGGTCCGCGTGACTATCGTAACCAATGGTTGGAGACTCTTGGTGACATGGCTCAGAATCGATCACAATGGCGTCGGTGTATACACTCTCTGTCTTCCCTTAAACTAAGAGATTAAAATCGCTTCATATCTTTCTTTCTACGAACTAATTCTTTCTTCCTATACTATATCCTTATTGCAATCTTTCTTTTTTATATTACCACCTCTGAATTAACTACTTTTATGAATCCGGTGTCCATCTTGTTGTGTTAATGATGTGTGGCAACTGGGACCGATGCATATATGTGCCTGGTCCTACGTTGTAGCTGGCTGACTGACTTAAATGATCCGACTCGAAACCTTTTATAGTGGCGCAGGTGCGTCCATTCTTTGTCTTTATCCGGATTTCTCAATCTTTTTATTTTCTCGAGTCGTATCTTCGATGCCTGGTTTCTTCTATTACCAATAATACTGTGATTATCTCTACTACTCTGGGATTTACCCTAACAATTTCATCGATTTGTGGTAATAGGGTGTGGCAAATTGGTCACGTTTGCGTCGAACTTCACACTCTTGCATATTTCCTGTATGTGAACATCTTGATGGTTGTCCACTACATCTATTTTTGTTTAATTTCGTCATAGACCTACTACTGGTAATAATATTCACGCCGACTGGATTTTCGGGAATTGATCTCCTACCAGGAAGTCCATTTATTGGCTTAGAATACGCAGATGACAGTTCTGTTTGGTGAAGACACTGATAAAATACAGTCTTTTGGTAGCATTGAGCAACAATACCAGGATGTTTGGGATGCTTCAGGACTGGCCTGCGTGAACACCTGAACTAAGGATAGGAAGCGATGTAGTTGAACGTATCGACAACTCCACTTATTTTGGAAGCCTGATCAGCCCTAGTGGGTTAGTGTCTGACGAAATCTCTGTACGGATTCAAAAAGCTCGTTTAGTTTTTGCCAAATTACGTCACCTATGACGAAGGCGAGATATTCGTTCATCAATTAAGGGACGATTATACTATGCATTAGTTCGTTCTGTTTTACTTTACGGCTGTGAAATGTGGCCATTAAGAGCAGAAAATACTCGTAAGTTACTGGTATTTGATGGCTGATGTCCTAGAAATATTGCCAACATCTGCTACGACCACCGGATAAGTAATAGTGAGGTTAGACACAGGGTTTTAGGGAATGATGGTAAATCAGTTGGTGAGGTTGTGAATCTTCATCGACTGAGATGGTTGGGCCACGTGTTACGTATGCCTGAACACCGATTACCACGACGTGCAATGCTGACTAGTGTTGGGGATGATTGGAAGAAGGTTAGGGGCGGCCAAACCAAAACGTGGCATCAGTGCTTGAAGTCATTAACTTCTAGTGTGAGCCATGTTAGTGGATGCAGGTTACTTGGTTGGGGTCCGCGTGACTATCGTAAACATTGGCTGAAGAATCTGAGTGACACTGCTTCAAGTCGATCAGTTATGGCATAGGTTTGTAAATATTTGATTATTGATCAACGTAATTTGATTGACAACTTTGTAATGGTAATAATAATAATATTTTATTCGTTTATTTCTACAGACAGCGAATTCTTCAACTAAACAAACGAAGAAAATAGAGACAAATAACAGAAATACTAGAAAATCTAAAGAAGCCACACCTCTTACAAGGACATTGATGCCAAGTAAAGCGGAGAACTCTATTAATTATATCGATGCTTCTTTACCTTATGTCTCACTTAATCGAGAAGAGATTTGCAATAAACCAATGTTCTCCGTTACCAGTACTTCTGGTATTAATGTTACTACTGAATCAAATGAAGCGAAAAGAAAAGATATTGATGTAAAAATTCTTCAACATAATAGTGATGTTGGTCGAATTTCAGAAAGTTGTCAACAATTTTTATCACAACATACTACTGATCATCATCGTTATCAACATTATTCTCATCAAGTTCGACCAAGTTCACGATTTTCACTTGGGCCTACATCATCATTATCTTCCAATTCTACTTTGCATTCAATTCATGAGCATGAAAACTCTTCTAATGATAATAATCATAAGAAAAAGATGAAAGAAGCAAGATTAGTAGGCAATCATCAACAAATGTTAATTAAATCAACTAGTCATCCACCGTTAACTACTGAATTAGATGATAATAATGAGAACTATTGTTTATCAGGGAGTAGTAATTCGACTAAAAACACATTAACGACAACAACGGCATCAGAGACAGAAACAAAAACAACAATGACATTGTGTTCTCCATCAAAATTACCTCGTGTTATTGATCAGTTTTCTCCAAGTACTCTTGTTAACACTTCACTATTACAATCAACAAATAATTCAAATTGTGTAAAAACACATCATTTTACTAAACAAGGAAATATTAACGTCGATGAAGACGATACAACTGATGATGAAATCGATTCAGATGATATTGATGAAAATCAACCAGCTAATACAAGTCTTGGCATTAATACAGCAATGACCGGTTTAGCTCTAGTCAATAGTCATAGTAATAGCAATAGTAATTCTAGTCAATATAAAAATACTACTACTGCTGCTACTACTACTACTACTAATACTACTAGTAACAATAATAGTAATAGTAATAGTACCGCTAATAGTTGTAATAATAGTACAAATAAAAAGGAAAATGACAATAATCATTCAATTTTAACATCTTCAACAATGGCTATTAGTAATAATGTTGAGTCAAATAACAAGACCATTCCTGTCTCATTATCAAATAATGTTACAGTTCAATTGACCGCTTGCTCATTAGATAAGTTTTTATTTAAATAAGTAGAGACTATCAGATACTTTATTTATTTATTTTTTCTGTTTTTTTTTCTACAATTATTATTGATAGTTTGCATTTTTGTTTTACTTTCTACCTTTCATAAAATCATCGGTAGAGAGAGGGAAAGGGTTGGAGAATGTTTATCGGTGGCCTTATGCTCCATTGGGAGTAACAGGCGTAAGAGAGAGGATGATGCATTGCATTTCATACTACTGAGTTCTTGTTTTGTTTTGGGATTTTTTTTGTAATTTCACTATTTGAATTCAATAGTGTCAAATTGTTTGGGATATTTTTCTAGTGCATTTATTTGTCCCTATAAACACTACTACTACTACTACTACCTATTCTTAGTAGTATTCATTATATTGGTTTTTATATACAGTATTTTATTTTGTACGATTATTATTATTATTATTTTTCTTCAGTTATTCGTTAACTCTGTGCCTTCACTCATATGATTCCATATATTTTGATACGATATGTTCATTCATTTATTGTGCCTTATCATTATTATTATTATTAGTTGTAAATGTCAGCAGCATTTTTTACAAAAAATATACTACAAAGATGTTTTTTCTTTCTTTTCCATGGATCTATTCAACGTTTATTATACTCGGTGTCACTTAGTGATCCAAGTCGAAGTTTTGAAGTCTTCTTTGTTCTTTCTTTTAAATCAACTAGAAGGACTACACAAAGATGTTTGTTCTTTTTTTCTTTTTCCATGAATCTTTTCAACGTTTATTATACTCGATGTCACTTATTGATCTAAGTCGAAGTTTTGAAGTCTTCTTTGTTCTTTCTTTTAAATCAGTTAGAATGACTACACTATTATTATTATTATTATTATTTTATTATTAGAACTGCTATTTTGTCTTACCATTATTGTATATATATATCTACATACATTCATTGTTATGTCGTTTTCCCTCAATTTTTCTCGGTGAAAACAATAACAGAAAGAAAAAATTGAATTTTAAGAAATATCCCATTTATCCATTATGTGAGAATACTCAAATTTAACATTACTATTAGTACTGTAGTATATTTTTTTGTATGTATTTAATGTACTTTATCAAAACTGCATATTATATTTATATGTGTATATAATGAAAAGAGTTAATATTTAATTAGAATGTGTTTATAATGATGATGATGATGACGATGATGGTGGTGTGTAATTCGAATGGATGAATGATGAGTAGTGACCAATTGTGAGAAAAAAGGTGAATAAATGTTATACGTATGTGTATGTGTATGTGTGTTTGTGGTCTGTTTACCACAACGGATTTCTTGTTTCACTTTGTTGTTGTGTACGAATTGTTGATCTTATTGGTCGATCATCGTCAACTTGAGCTCCTTCGTTGTTTTTTTTAAAAATAAAAAATTCAAATAAAAACAGAATATGTGTAAATAAAATGATAAATAAGTAGCGATTCATAGAAAACTCTGTTTGGTTTCTAGGTAGTTGAAAGTGGTCGACAGGAAATCCTGTCTGATCTAGGTTTCTTGGTAGTTGGCGCTCGTCAGCAGTCTCGACTGAACTGAGATCGCATGGAGGATTCGGACCCGGGTCACGATTGATCTTTAAGTTCAATACAGGTTTGAATTCGACAAACAACTTATATTCCTAAAACTAGAATTAGCTCTAACCATTACCTAAAATCAGAACATAATCCATTGTGATTTCAAGTTGTTTAGACTATTTGTTACATTCCATGCTGAGTCGATAGGATTCTATCATCTGTAAGGATTAGGCATACATCAAACTGGTTGCTACTCCATGTCCAACCATTTAAAATGAGTAGATTTTGTAAGGATGTTTATTTAAAAGATCTTCGAATGCAACGATTTACACAGTTGGTAGAAAATTAAATTCGTGATATAAGCATTTGACCCTAAGAAAATGAGTCACAAGTTTCAGTGCATTCTGAAAACAGCGGCAAAATTTGAAGTCAAATTGTATGTTCACCTACACACGGTGGAGCTCCATCACATTTATAGGGACGTTGTAAATACCAAAACAAGCTTACTGCATATTCCTGATCTGATAAAGGTGAGTAGTCCTATTGTCCTACTATGATTATAGAAACATTACATTATGATTCATCCTATGTTTCCATCGTTATCACCACAAAATTCTCTCATTTGTGTGAGATTATTGGAAATATCTGAATACCTACTAAAAACCTAGTTTAATATGAAGGGCTTCGCTTACTTTCTATCAGTTTGTATCTAGAATATCAGGAGATTGATAAAATACCAAGTTTACATGTGTCTTACCATATATGAGGAGCAACAAGGTTTAGTGTGCAGTCCGCTGAAATAACAATGAATCTACAATGTGGAGCCTGGCACACGTGTGGGGCGGTTCATGTTGCCACATCACCAGTACAGTGAGATGAAATGCAAATATCAGATTAGTAGAAGTAGTATAACAGTATCAGTAGTGGTAGTAGGGAAGATTGGTGTTATTCTTTCAATCATTAACTCAGAGGTTCCAGCTCCTTAACAAGTACTTTAAGAAATACAAAACCCTGTTAGGTAGAAGAGTACATTAGAACAATGTTTAAATTATCCGAAAAACGTATCCCTAACCAATAAATGACCGCTTCTTGCTGTTATGAGATTGTAAAAAAAGGCCATTCATTTCTTGAGAACGACTCTAAAGATAGGTAATAGTCAGTCAGTCAGCAACAACGTAAAACTTCGTACGTACATCAGTTCAATTTGCCATACCACATTAGCCCACAGATACAATTTTCGATTCAAATCCCGTAGTGATAGAGGTAGTAAAAGTATCAGCACTAATCGGAAACACTAGGGTTTGAAGATGTTATTCAAGGAGTATAATCCAGTGAAGTAAATTTGTAAAGAGAAAAAAAGAAAAGGACATGAAGAAATCAAGATTAGAATTTGGGAGAACACAAAGAGTGGATGCACCTGCGCCATTGCAAACGATTTTGAGCCATGTCATTCAAAGTCTCTAACCATCGGTTGCTATCGTCTCGTGGATCCCAACCAGGTAGTCTACACCTACCAACATGTCTCAGTCCACTTGTCAGTGACTTCATGGATTTGTGTCATGTTTTAGTCTGGCCACCCCTAGCGTATTTCCAACCTACTCCGGTCGGTGGTTGGGCATACGTAACGTGTCTCAGCCATCTGAACTGATGAAGTTTCACTACTTTATCAATTGATTTGCCATCTTTACCTAGTTCCCGTTTCTTAACAACTGAGTTACTTACTCGGTAGTATAAGTTCCTGACACATTTATGAGCTAAATATGATAACTTGCATAGTTTTACAAGCCTTACCATCAATAATCTTAACTTCAACTACAATTAAACATAAAACTGTTTCAAAATAATGAAAAAAATGTTTAACAACTAACCACTTAATGAAAATCCTGAAGCATGTAAATCTCGATTACCACGTATTGTACGTATGTTGATTGGCGTTGTCATTAGATTTTGAGGATTTCCATCTTTCGTTTGTTCACTACCATTATTATTATTATCATGATTGTTTGTTATCTTTGAAATTGTTGTTAATTCTCCACTTAAATTATTCATTGTCCAAGGTTCACGAATAACAGGGATTTGATTTGTTTTACGTAACTAATTTGAGGAATAAAAAAAGTAACATTTCTATAGTAATGAAAGGAGAACATCATTTTGATTATTCACTGTGTTATGAACGGGGAATTAAGAAGCTCAGACAATTACGAAAGCTATTTTCTTGGGACGTTATTGCATTTCATTCAAACCCTGTAAAACACTTATATTTATTTTCGTCCCTATCTTATTCTACATAACACGAGCTTTCGTTCTATGTATCATTCATTAGCATACCCTTTTTTGTTCCAAAAATATTGTAATTTAAACATTATATTTTGCACTATATTTTCTACCCTAATTCCCTGTTTCGGGCATAACTGTATTTTTCCAAATTATCGTACGTCGTGGTCAAGATATGCACTTATTTATTCATGTACATTTTTGTAGTAATCCGAATTCAGAGAATCCAGAGTTTAGTGTTCCAACTGTCTTGTCTTATTTCACTCGCGTGCTTGCCAACCAATCAGGATTTAGAATAGTTCTCTCTACCCCCAATCGAACTCACGCGTATTAAACTCAAGGTTAAGCCACTCAACCTAGCGCGTCAAGTCATAACAAGTATCACGGGGTAAAAGCCATCCAAGGTCATAACAACTGGCGACGGGGATGGGATACACTGCTATTGGGTTATGATTTCGTTATTAAATACAAATCTACCTCTGATTTTGGCCATGCTGATGCATTATCTCGCTTAATAAGCAATCATAAGCTTGAAAACGAAAACTCGTGTTATGTAGAATAAGATAGGGACAAAAATAAATATAAGTGTTTTACAGGTTTTGAATGAAATGCAATAACGTCCCAAGAAAATAGCTTTCGTAATTGTCTGGGCTTCTTAATTCTCCGTTCATAACACACTGCTGAAGAGTCTTAAACTAGATCGTTCTAGGTTGTTCTATACTTTGTGATGTACACTAGTTGAAAACAGTCCTTAACAAGCATCTAATATCAGTTAAAATAGTCTTGCCATATAAATTAATGTTTACGTTTGTTACTTTAGATTATCCAGTAATCTGACATTATTTCAACGAATGTCTATATGTAATGTGTATGTCATTTATGTATGCGTAAAATTGATAGATCCACAACTAAAACGCTTGATATTGACTTTGTAGCTGCTTCCTGAATCACCAGAACTCTTCCACACTTGAGATCTGAACAATCGAGGAAAGGAGTAGTGTCTAGTATCATGTCAGTCCCATATTAGTCTATTCATTCGTGTTGTGTTAAATTTTGACTTTGTTAATTATTCGTTTATTAACTTTGACTGCTTTTTATAAGGGCGTATGTGTGTACATTGCTTATTCTACTTATAACATGTCTATAGCTTGTTTTTGTCTGACTATAAATATTGAGTTATACTTGCTCAAATCTAGTTGGCTCACTCGCCTCGCTTCGTTTTTTGTTCTTTCAACGACATTCTCCGCTTCACTTTGCTTTCCAGCTTTTCATTGTGAATGTTCTTCCAGATTAAGGAGTGTAGAATATATACGTATTCAAAATTCATCTTCGTATTTGACTTATGCTATTCCATTAATCATAACATGACTTAAGTCAATAATGATATACGAGGATAGATGGGATGTATATTTCGATAACATTATCATACAATCTAATTAGAATCAGATCAAAAGGCCAACAATGGCACAAAATAGAAGAAGAAGAAGCTTTATTTCAAAGTTTCTTAATCCACAGGAAATAAGAGTATTTACAAGCTTCTATGAATTCTGGTTATCTCTAGGAGAATACTAAATTCAATTACAGAGCAAACAGTTATCCACTCAAAGTATAACATAAAATCCATTAGATTTCCAGGAGTTTTTATGTCACATAGGGATTGGACTAAATGTTCTCAACACTTTTCATGGTTTCTAAAGAACTTGTGGACGAACACAATTACATGAAAGGTTGAAGGATATTTAGTGATATAAACACTTATTTCACTGATATTCAACTGAGTGATATCTACATCTTAAGTCAAAAAATATCAGAATTGTTGGATGTTGATAAAGGTCAAGTATTTTTTAAAAAAGGATTAGATCTGAGACAGGATCACGTTTTCTGTATGTGATTGAGAAGTTTATGGAAGTTAGTTTTCATCACTTCAGTCTAAATGAATCTTTACAAACATTTCATGTAAACATTAATCATGTGCTGAATAATTGCTGGATGGAGAATGAATTCCTTAAGCTATAGTGAAAATTTGTTATTTGATGAAATTCAACTATATTGAGAATAAGGGAATTACCTACCAACGGCGTTGGTTAGTGTCACTTTATGTACTACACCGTCACTAGTGACGGTATTCAAGAGGTATTTTCTGGAGTTCTAATGAGAAGCCATGACCAATGGAGTTCAGCCGGGTCTGTTGTGAGAAAGTAACTCATTGAAGACAATAGTGGACAATGGCAAAACTTCGCGAATCGGTTGAAGTTAGACATTAGAACCGTTGGATGCCGGCTTAGTGATCTAGAAGTTTGGTGTTTACGTACGAGACTGAAGACCCTGGGTTCAAGCTCCGCGGGGCAGGATCGTGAGTGCTCACTGCTGAGGAGTCTCGCACTAGGACAAAACAGCCTTATAGTGTTTCCAGATTTTTTATAGTGGTCTAGCTTCAATTGACTCATGAATTCAACTATTAAATTACTATAATCTCTACAAAACCACTCACCGATTATATCTTAAATATGTTATTTTTTATTCATCCTTACTCAAATGAAATCAACTTATTCTATTTTTTCTAAACACTTACTCTTTCAAATGCATTAACCAGATCATAAATAGTAGAAGGAAATAATTTCCCTGTTAGTAACATTCCAAGTGGTTGATTTGATTGAATTTCATTCAAATGATTACATGGTATAATCTTTAAATCATTATTATTATTATTACTTATATCTTCTATCAGATTACCATTGTATACTATTAATTTCCCATGATGAATAACTAAAGATGGATGTTGAATAGTACAATTAATTATATTATCATATGGCCAACAAATTAAATCAGCATCTGATCCCGGATATAAACATCCTTTATTTGGATATAAACCTAAATAATGTGCAGCATTAGATGATGTAAGACTAACAAATGTAGAAGCATCTAACCATCCTGATGGCTAAAATAATAAAGAATAAAAAGAAAATAATGATAAATAAGAGTAGTATCGGTTAAAAAAAAAGAAAAAAAGTAATCATCTTATACAATTTATTCAGTCCATTTGAAGAGTTTTGATATGAAAATGAAAGAAGAGTTTATATTCTATAATAATGACTAGTGGAGTTAACCGGATCTGTTGTGAGATAGTAACTCCCTGAAGACAATGGTGGATGTGCCTCTCAATTTTGTGGATTAGTTGAAGTTAGACATTAACACCGTTAGATGCCGACCAGCTCAATGGCCTAGTGGTTAAGTGTTCACATGCGAGATCGATAGGTCCTGGGTTCATATCTCATGAGGCGGAATCGTGGATGCGCACTGCTGAGGAGTACCATACTGGGATGAAACGGTCGTCCAGTTCTTCCACGTATTCCATGGTTGTATAGCTTCAATTTACTCATGAATTCAACTATCAAGCTTATTTGTTTAAACACATAAACATTGGTACAAGGAGGCAACAAATAGATATATGCGCCACAAGTCATAGACAAATACAGTAATTCTTGTTTTATTCTTCTCTGAATACGAATCGGTAACTATTTCATAATCAGTTTTCTTTTGTCCTATATTAAGTGTACAGATTGAATTCTATAAATCAAATGTATAATATATTAATCGAACTTAATGGTTCAACTTGATGGTACAATTCATTTGGTGTATGATGGTTGGAAACAATCAATGATAAGCCACAGATCATAGCTTTTCTTGGTTGGTATTCATCATAGAGATTTAGCTTTACTTCTGAATAAATTACTGGTGTGTAAAGATTTGAATTCATGTCGTCTTTGAAACATTATTTAACAGTTTATTATGTCTTTCATTTACTAATAATACTAACTACCATTTCAATAGTTGAAATTATGAGTCAATTGAAGCTATACCACCATGGAAAACTTGGAAGCGCTGGACGACCGTTTCGTTCTAGTATGGGACTCCTCAGCAGTGCGCATCCATGATCCCGCCCCCTCTACGAGATTCGAACCCAGGACGTAGATTCAATTGACTCATGATTTCAACTATTGAAATTATTAACATCTCCACAAAACCCCTCCTGATAAATACCACTTGTTTACTCTCTCAAGTTTTGTCCAGTATTAACGTTTGTACTGTTTGATATGATGGCGGGGGTGGATGAAAAGTATTATTCGGTTGGGGGGAGATAGTGACCCATAAAACTGATTTACCCCAATCTCCTACAACGTTTAATTATGCTTATTTTTCCGCAAATATTTTGTATATTAACATATTATTTTATTATACCAAAGCCTACTCTACTGAGGAGCTGTTTTCTCCTCTGATAATCTATCAATTAGAGAGGAGTTACGTCATTATTCCAGCTTCATGAGCAGCTATTGTTCAATCACATCTTATCGTCGCATACCAGTGCAATAAATCAATAATGCGTCCACTAATTTAACTGCCATCAAATGTTCGCGCGCGAAACTGATACATCCTGGGTTCGAATCTCGTGAGGCGAGATCGTGGATGCTCAATGTTGAGGAATCCCATACTAGGATGAAACGCCCGTCCAGTGCTTTCAGGTTTTTCATTGTGGTCTTGCTTCAATTGACTCATGAATTCAATTATTAGGTGTTTTATCATTAAATCACAAAATTTTAATCCATAATACGTTTGTACTTCTTGGCTTCATTCTTACTTTATTTTGCAAATGTTAAGTGGTTACTTTGTTACGACTGTTATTTCAACTCATTTACTCTTCATCATGTGAATCATCCATTTCTTTGCATTGATATGGAGAGCAGCAAACTGGACAGGTAGATATTTGTTGTCAATTTATGAATCAATGACACTTTGATATTGTTTCAATGAAACATATACAGTCTCATATCTTGTATTCTTATAACTTGGATGAAAATTCAAGTGAAATAGAGAGTAGATTAAACATTTAGTTTCATGGTCTCAAGTTTCTTAAACTATTGGCAGTATTATAAAGTGATTGATAGAATTTGACTTGTATTCAAGACTGAACAAATACAACATTGACCATTATTCAGCGATTAATGAATATGGATATTATCAGAATGTGTTTTGTGGAGATTTTTAGAAATTTTCACAGATTGAACTCATGAGTCAGTTGAAGCTAGACCACCATTGAAAACCTGGAAGCACTGGACGGCCGTTTCGTCCTAGTATGGGACTCCTCAGCAGTGCGCATCCACAACCCCGCACCACCACACATTCTGATAATAATAATCACCTGCTCACTAGTGACTGACTTCAGGAGACACTTCTGGAGTTCTAGTGAGAAGTCGTTACCAGTGGAGTTCAACCAGGTCTGTTGTGAGATAGGAACTCACTGAAGACAATGGTGTACGGTAGCGCAACTTCGTGGATTGGTTGAAGTTAGACATTAACACCGTTGGATGCCGGCTCAGTGGTCTAATGGTTAAGTGCTCGCGCGCGAAGCCAGTAGGTCCTGGGTTCGAGCCCCGGGTGGTTCGGGGTCGTGGATGCGCACTGCTGAGGAGTCCCATACTAGGACGAAACGGCCGTCCAGTGCTTCCAGGTTTTCAATGGTGGTCTAGCTTCAACTGACTCATGAGTTCAATCTGTGAGAATATGGATATTTGAATCTTATCAGAGCTGAATAACAATCTAAATGAACCATTAATAACATCAAAATATGAATCATGGTGACTTAGATTCGAATTAATAGGAGAGAATCTATTCCATTATGATTCCAGATAGACTTAAAAGGTTTGAATAATTTTTTTTTCTGGTTAGCGTTTTTTTAGCGAGTTAGTTTTCTACGGGATGGGGTCGCTAACCCCATGCCCAACCCTCCTCCTCTATCCGGGCATGGGACCGGCAGTAGCCCCCGAAGGAACTTCAGGCGGATTTATTCCGGATAGAGTCTGCTAATAAATACCTAACTATTACTAAACCTAAACCAATCAGGTTTATGTATCAAATAGTTCCAACCAGATAACATTCAACTTTATCTAACGAGTCCGATGGTCATATTACATCATATGAATATATATATACATATCTGTATATAGTTTTACATGACTTACCACACCAGCTTTCCATGTTGTTATTAATCTTTGTCTAATTGTTTGTAAACTATTAGACTTTCCATTTGTATCAATATTAGACTGATCACTTGAAATTAATTTGATATCACCATTGGTTAGTAATGGTAAAAATCCATTTCCGAATTGCTATTTATACATGATTTTGTAAAAAAACAAAAACAAAAGAATAAAGGATAGACGATAATTAAAGGATTCAAATTAGGTGTATATTATTGTAGAGCCAGTGAAATTCCACTGAGCCCTAGCCAAATCATCCGGTAGTTGGGTCATTGATTATTGAACAAATCATCGATCCTCGTCAAGGTCAAGGACATCCAACGCCCATCAGTTAATCATACGCCATGGACTGGCCCATGCGGCGGTGGTCTTACTTTCGCTTGTATCTACTTTAACTAATATATTTCTGTAATAACGTCATCTATGTTGTACAGTCTTCAAAGCATCTATAGTACCTTGATATGGCAATGGGGTAGTCCACGTAAGGTGCTGACCACGAGGTGTGACTTTGACGTTAGCTGGTTCGTCACGTCATTCCCGTTTAACTGGAGTAGTCTTTCGATCACTCGACATAGATAATCTACGTTGGTGATCTACATCATAATACATATTTCTAATTTAGTTTGATTATTGAATAAGCTGAAATGTTAGAGATAACATTGTAAGTGTGTGTATGTTTTGTCGATCAAGATAGATAATACACTTTAAAGCATATCTCTACTAAATACAGGTTTATTTACTCACTTATGTCTGTGTTTATGTATTTTGTCTACGCAAAATATATCGGATCCGTTGCCAAGACACTATCAACAACAACCTACTGTTGGAGAGAACAAATCAGAACCCAGTGGAGGAAGAAATCAGGAAGAAGTGCCGGAAGTGGATAGGACACATATTGAGGTAAGAACCCAACTTCATCACAAGACAAGCCTTCGCCTGGAATTCTCAAGGTCAAAACAGAAGAGGAAGATCAATGAACACATTACGCCGAGAATTAGAGACAAACATAAGAAAGAATCAAAATTGGATAGAACTAAGAAGGAAGACCCAGGACAGAGTGGGTTGGAGAATACTGGTCGGTGGCCTATGCTCCATCGGGAGTAACAGGCGTAAGTAAGTTTATGTATTGGTATGTGATGTTTGATGATACGACCAAGTTTTTTAAATTAAGCTACATATAATTTTCTCAATTAAGCCAGCATTTACACAACAAAATAAGGATAGGTTACCGATGATGGGTTCCTCTATGTGTGTATACTAATTTAACTGCACTTGTGGAGCTAGATACATAGACCGTACTCATAGGACTTTATTCTTGCGTATTTGTCAACATGTACCAGCATGGTTGGGAAAAGGAGTTGCTAAATCGATCAACAGTACTATTCTTTCTCACTTGGAAGATAGTGAACATCATATCAAACTAGATGAAGGTTTCTCTATTTTATATCAAGTTCCAAAAAATCTACTTCAAGGAGCTAGATTATGACTATTATACATAGCCGAAGCCATCTGGATCAACTCCAGAAAACCAAACTTATATGTTCAGAAAAGGTATATCCAGCCTCTATGTTTACCTTGGCCTATGACTGGATCACCAAATACCCCTTACCCTCAACCCATTTTCTTTTTTTTTGATTACATCTATCTTAATCTTCACATTCATCTACCCCAAATTCACATGACACCTTTTTTTATCATAATTACCCTGATAACACCCCTCTTATTACATATTATATGCACACAACGATATTATTAATACGATTGTTATTATCATCAATTATTACATCAATTAACAAGATGAAATTCTCCTATTATGCATTTTATTCACACGATTTCGTCACATTTACTATTATACTAATTGAGACTTGACACGTTACTCTAAATCACTTCTGACCTTTATTCAATGACCTTTTTAACTTACAAATAGCACAGTTTTGGGGGGGGGCATTTATTTCGTAACAGATGCAAATGTTCACTATTTTTAACAGACATTATTGTTGAATTCATTAATGGATGTCTTATTTGGGCATATCATAAGAATTTATAACTGTGGAGCATAGAAAAGGCAGATACAACAGAAATTGATATTGACTTGACACTGTTTACAATAACGTAGATGCCTTTACATATACTGTATATCATATCCATTAAAGAATGTGATGGATTTCATAGCTAAGTAGTCTATTGGTAAACACGCTGATATTAGCAGTGATGAATAATGGATCTGTATTTCATGATGAATATCATTATCAAGATCTAAGTCTATCTACCTGATTAGTATCAAATAGAATAAAATAAGCTTCATGAATTTCATTTCTATCAACTTATCACTTTAGACAATAACGAATATTTAGTATAGGAGTTCATATTACCAGCAGACTAGTTAAAAATTTGGAAAATAAATGAAGTTTTGAATATAAGTAAAGATTGTTAGTGGCTAGCCATGAAGTCCAGGACACTAATTTCATCCTATTTGAAACTCTTCAACTGGATATATCTGCTCACGCTGGAAGTCGAACCCAATACCGTTCGCTTCAAACGTCATCGTGCCATCTACTTAGCTAATGAGTCCTGACAGTCAATTGCTTGTGTAATAGAATAAAGTTTATATTCATTTGGTATTGTTTACTTCAATCTTCTCATTGATGTTTAGGACTGAGATTGATCATAAAATGAATTCCCATTTAAAATAAAACTACTACTACTACTACTACTACTACTACTACTACTACTACTACTACTACTACTACTACTACTACTACTACTACTACTACTACTACTACTACTACTACTACTACTACTACTACTACTACTACTACTACTACTACTACTACTACTACTACTACTACTACTACTACTACTACTACTACTACTACTACTACTACTACTACTACTACTACTACTACTACTACTACTACTACTACTACTACTACTACTACTACTACTACTACTACTACTACTACTACTACTACTACTACTACTACTACTACTACTACTACTACTACTACTACTTTAACTACCTCACAAGGAAAGGGCAGATTTGAAATAAATCTATGACCTTTTCAATTAGAAATGAAATAAATTCTACATACAATAATTGATGCATCGACTTATTTCATTACTTAACATTGATAACCCCTTTAATACACATTAGAATGTTTAAACACTTTAAGTGTACCATTCGATTGTATCAAAGTCACATAAATTGTCTAGACTTTTTTATTTTTTAGAGAAAACTGTACGTGATTTTGGTCAAAAATCTTGTTGAAAACATCTTAGTGATTCGTTTTTTTGTCTTAAGAAATAGACAAAAATTATTTCACACGATAAATGTGATTAACACTAACACTTGGATGACTCATAATTAACAGAACAATCCTGGTCTGGTTGGTTAAGCGCCTGGCGCGAGATTGATAGTCCCTGGGTTCAAATCTCGCGGAGGGGGGGGCGGGATCGTGGATGAGCACTGTTGAGGAGTCCCATGCTAGGATGAAACGGCCGTCTAATGCTTCCATGTTTTCCATGATGGTCTAGCTTCAATTGACTCATGATTTCAATCATTGAAATTAATCATACTGTATGTATGTAGATATGATTATCCTTTTTTTGCACCAACCTTCGGTTAACTATTCTACAATTCAACTATTAAAATTATTACAATCTCCACAAAATCCTCATTCTGATCATAATGATCATGTGTATATTTGGTGACTGGTTTCAAGATGGATTTCTTGAAGTTCTAATGAGAAGCCATGATCAGTGGAGTTCAATCTGTGTCAAGTGGAAACAGTTATCTATTTCAGGCAGTGATGTTAGACATTAACACTGTCGGATGCCATCTCAGTGGTCTAAAATTTCAGCGTTTACATGCAAGATCGAAAGTCCTGAGTTCGAGTCCCTCATGCATTATCATGGATGCACACTGTTGAATAGTCCCATACTAAGACGAAACGGTTATCCAGTGATTACAGCTTCTCAATGATGGTCTAGCTTAGATCGATGAATGAATTCAACTATTAAAATGACTAAAATCTCTACAAATCTCCGTTTTGATCATTCGAAAGTAAATTAAACTGAAATGACCAACTGTATTTTGTCTTTGTAAAAGATTTCTCAAAACCACACACTTAAAATTTTCAGATTTTCTGAAATCAAATAGTTTGTATATTCAACTTTAATTATCAATGAAGTACAATTGTCCATTTGGATTTCGTTAAGTTTCAATGGGAATAAATGACCTATGAAATTTACTAAGTGATAAGTAAAACAATCATAATTCTAGTAACATTAAATAATGATCATGTTATATTGTGAATTGATTAAAGCTGAAAATGCCAGTTATTGAATTTCACTTTAGTCAGTCAAATTGTATAATACTGTATGGTATATGGTACTGTTGTCGACAGATATAAGTAGTATGTACCACCAATCGAAAATGGAATACCAAGAGGTGAAAGGTTAATAAAAATTGAAGAGAAGAGAATGAGAGTAGAGATTGATTAGTATGGACATGAAGGAATAACAACAGTCTGAGACGATTGACGGATATTTTTTGGAAATGAAGTATTTACTGTATGGATCTAAGATTTTACCAAGATATCATAATAAATTTGGTTGTCTTCGCCTGTGTTCTTGTTACCTACAATACTACATATAAGAGAATTAAATTTCTTGAATTATCGCATATATTGGACCAGTGACGCGGAACTCACAAGTAACGTTGTTGATTAACTTTCTAACTTACATCAATTCGTAATAAAATTTTTATTCAGTATATCATTAATGTCTTGAACGCTTTGATACTCAGTCAGTCAGTCAGTCAGTCAGTCAGTCAGTCAGTCAGTCAGTCAGTCAGTCAGTCAGTCAGTCAGTCAGTCAGTCAGTCAGTCAGTCAGTCAGTCAGTCAGTCAGTCAGTCAGTCAGTCAGTCAGTCAGTCAGTCAGTCAGTCAGTCAGTCAGTCAGTCAGTCAGTCAGTCAGTCAGTCAGTCAGTCAGTCAGTCAGTCAGTCAGTCAGTCAGTCAGTCAGTCAGTCAGTCAGTCAGTCAGTCAGTAACAACGTAGAACTTCGTACGTACGTACATCAGTTCGAGTTGCCACACCACATTAGCACAGAGATACAGTGGTCGAT